GATGTGGCAGACAGGAAAAATGACTATCCCTTCTTTTTTCTAGGAGGGCTTTGTTGACTTCTTTCGAGTAGAGGACCTAGAAGGAAGTATCAGAAATGTACTGATGGCTTTTGCAGGAGTTGCTGGACTGGGAGCAAGCTTGGCCTACATGATACGGTGAGCCATGGCATGCTGTAGAATGACAAAACTCTAAGCAAACTGGCTCTGTTTGGAGCTATAAGCTGATTGCTTCCTCCTGTGAGTACTTATGAAGCTGTACTTGAGTGACTGAAGGAGAACATCTAGGCATCCCCTGAGCAATTCTTTCCTAAGAAAGAAGGTGTGATCCAGTCAGATTGTGGGTTCCAACGAGGATTTATTGCTTTGGGAACAGAAAATGAAGAATCAATGTTCTGCTTCCTTCAAGAGCATCACGAAAGAAAGCTAAAGTGGACTGCTTCAAAGTTTTAACCCTGAGGGAACAGATCTGCTTAGCAAGCCAGTGAGCACCAGCAGCTTTTGTCCTGGACTGAAGCCTCCTAGGTTTGGCATGGTGGCTGCGTGTGGAGTGGATGTTTCAGAGTTGTGATTGTGGGTTTCTCGAAATAGTGTCTTCTGCTGCCATTGCCCTGCAACTTGTGGCTTTTTCTCTTGGAATAGAAGCATTAAATGCCAGGTGTTCTGCAGACCTGTGGCTATTCCCAGGTGTGCTAGTGAGCAGATGTTAAACCGCTGCTGACTCTGCATACATTCCATCCTCATTCAGGGGGAGAGCTGTGCTGAAGGTTGAGATGTGTGACCCACAGCCAGGATGGTGGGAGCTGGTGCCTATGGAAAGGCTTGGCCTTACTGTCTGCTGGCTCAGCCCGTGTAAATTTTCTCCTCTCTTCTAGTAGGGCTTTTTTTAACCAGGTCACTGAACAGACCCGGGTTAGAGCAGTCAGACAAACAATTGCAATGGCCACCAACACTCGGGTGCAAACCTCTGGGGAGGGACGAAGGGGGAAGCAGTGAGGGGTGGGTTGGGGACAGTAACCACAACCAGCTGCAGTTGATCCAGGTTAGTTTGTCTGACTGATCTCTGCTACACTGATGTGACTTGTGAACACATGCAGTTTAAAAATAGGGAATACATTTGTAAGTATGTAAAACTTTACATGGGGTGGGGAAGCTGTAAAGAGAACCTTGTAAATGTCTATAAATCTGTAGAATATGTACATTTTTACAGAGATGAAGATGCAAAAAGGGGCTTTTGAATGTGACAAATCACTTGCAGATGTACCATACTTCATTCCTCGTGTGAAGTAGTAGCATTTTTGTGACAAAGCCTTCTCCTACCTTGACTTCAAGCAAGCCTTTCTCTAATGTACTCTAGTAAAACTGCCAAGGAAGTGTAGCAAGGATCAGTGGCCTGGTGGAATTTTATTGTGCCCGTGGCTTGCTGGCAACAGTTCTTGTTTCTGTTTGTTTTAATCTTTTTGGTTACTCTAGCTCTTCTAGCGGGTGGGGTTTATGGAAGTTGGTATCAGTGAACTTCCTTTTCTTCACTTTATTTTGATCCTTTAAGACATGAATCAAATGAAGCTAATATTTGAATGTAAACATTCTGGAGCAGAATAAAACTCCTTGGATTGAATCTGCAGTTAGTATGAGTCCATCAATGCCATACTCTGAGTTCAATCCTCCAGTCCCTAGCTGGAAGTGTTACTTCTAGGTGGGCTTGCAGCGTTCTGCTACTTTGTGCACTCAAACTGAGTGAATCAGTTTTTTGTGTGGAAGCTTTCTCCTGTGAAATCAGGTCCCAGCATGACCAGAAACGTACATCTTCATTGTACTTGATCTCCAGACTGAATGATGCCTAATGTAAACCCAAGTGGAGAGCTTAAAAGATGGTGCTATTGTCAAGCCTGCTTGTTTTCCAAACAAGCACTTAGTTTTGTCAATAAATGTCTTTGTTCTCAATCCTCCAGCATAAAGCTCACTATTTCCTGTAACTAGATGCTGATAAACTACATGGTCCTGCTCTATCTTGCTTGTGCTTCCTCTGGTGTAGGCCTGCACAGCTAGGACAGATTGTCCTGTGGTGCTCTCTAGCCTGTTGGTTATTCAAAAGCTTCTGTGGGCTGTGGACAACTGTTCAAGATGTGTCTTCTCTCACCTATTGGGGTGCTCTGGTGCTGCTCCGTGCTGAGAAGCTGTTCTGCTTTAAGTTGCCTCTTTGTGTGGGTGGGGAAGTCTGAGAGACAACTTCTGTTGATCAGTGCAGCGTATGCAGACTCTCCTGAGTTGCCCTAAAAGGTGCTGCAGGTCTCTGGATACCTGTGGTGCACTACCACAGCTTGTCACCTCCCAGCACTTCAGAGTTGGTGAGTCTGACAGACCTCAGCCTGCAGCAGAGGAGCGGCTTCCCCAGGCTCACCCTGGGTTGCTCCGACAGCTCTGTGGTGAACCATGCTCCTTGCGTCTGCTGAGAGCCGCCTCAGAGGCTGCACCCAGCCCCTTCAAAGGGAGAAGACCATGTTGGTGTTGCAACTGCGCAGTCTGGGTGGCTTTAATCTCTAGCCTGGCTAAGTTTAGTCTTGCTGCTTGCCTTGTTTGTTCTGGGGCTGCCATCTCCCCAGGGAGCAAGTCAAATCCACCTGTTGTAAGGGTGTCTGCTGTAACCGGCTCTGCTGTGTACAACTCCCCACCAAAACAAACCATGCAGGCTTATAAATACCTGTATTTAAACAGCCCAGTCTGGCTTAGCAGGAGCCTACTTGCCAGCTAGGTGAGCAGTTGTGTGGCTCATGAATATAACCTTGTCATTGCTGAAAAGCAACCACCTTCTAGCAAGGAGGATGCGAATTCCTTATTCTGGAGCAGACAGCTAGTCTCAGGTGAGGTACAGTGTGCTTGGGACCCTATATGGCAAAACAGCTGGGCTTCAGCTGCTGCGTCAGCCCTGTGGTGCCTGAGTTTCGTTTCCTGCAGGGCTGAATGCAGGAAGTGAGCAATGAACCAACCCTGCACTGCTGGCCAAAGGGCAAGGTTAGCTTTGGGTGCAGCTGAGCTATGCAAAGACTATGTTTGGGTGGTGTCAGCCTTCTGGAAACCTCCATCATCCTGTTGGGAAGGAAGGTGCTGCTCCCTGTGGGCAGCTGGGCTTGACAGCTGGCTGGGACCGCCCTGGCTGGCTTGGGCGTAAGAGCGTGAAGCTGGTGGTTGCCTTTTGAGAAAAATCTCCATCCAGGTTCCTCTCAAAGTACAGAAGAGGCAGAGTGCTTCGCTAAAACAAAACTCATCAGTTTGAAACTGCAGTGCTGGCTGAAAGCAGTCATTCAGCCTCACCCTGTGGGATGTGGAGTCTTGCTGAAGATTGGGCGAGATAGGGATAAAGTGACCACTTCCTGCAGCTCGGCTTGTAAGGCGCTGCAGAAAACAAGCTGACAGTTCCAGCACGCCATGGAGCAATTGCCTCGGCATTTTTTCTTGCTGTGTCTTCCTTTTCAATCTATTTTCGGCCTGCTTGCTATTCAGCATCTCAGAGCCCAGTGAGGCCCTCATGCAAAGCTGGGCCTTTGCCATGGAAATATGCAAACAGAGCTCTGCAGAGCGATTTCCCCTCTGCTGTTGTGGGGCTGCTCTGTTTCTAGGTACTGGGTGTAAAGTGTGTCTAAGTTGTTTTTGCTTCCTGGTAACCAATCTGCTGCAAAGTTGGTCTGATCAAGATTGTCTCAGAGCTGATAAAATAGGGAGCTTCCTGTTCCTCTTGAATAAGGGCTTTTCAGAGTGAAAAAAAAAAAAAAACATTGCAGGGCTTTAAGTTCTTGGAAGCATTCATGTAAATAAGGGGGAAAATTTAAGCACCCTTTATGGATGACTGGTGGTGGATGTTGCAGTCCTGGAGCTGCAGCTCTCCTTCAGGGGGAAGTGTCTCCCCTGGCTGCCTGTGGCTTCATCTTCCTTGTCACCCTGGGACCTTTGGGAGCTTTCTGTGGCTTCAGGTGCTAGATGTGCTGCACAGCAGCTCTTTTGAGGGTTTTCCCACTGATGGGAGGAAAAACTGTTGAAAAAGCAGCACTGTCTGTTTTCCTACAACAGCCCCCCCCCTTGTTTTTATCCTCTACCCCATCTCTGTTTCTTCCAAGTCCTGAGGATCATCTCGGTGGTGTTTGGGGTTAGATTCACAGTGAGTTTATTGGGAACTGCAACAGTGAACTTCAATCAGCTGCGTGGGCTGCAGAAACGAAGCTCTTTTGCTTCCTCTTCTGTGAAAAGCCACGAGCCCACTTCGAGGAGGCTGTGGCCTCGTTCCCTCTGCCAGCACCCAGGGCTTGCAGCGAGCTGTCTCGCCTCACTGCCTCCACGCGGGGTTTCGCAGTGGGGGAAAACCGATGCGGTGGTGGAGAGGATGTTTAAAGTTCACGTTCTCGGGGCTTCGAGGGGGCTGCATGCAAATACTGAAAATCCCCTGGCGGGCTCTGCTAAGTCTCTGCGCGCAGCCTTGCTCATCTCGGGCTTCTGCTGCCTGTGGGCGATTCAAACCTTTGCTCCTGGGGCTGTGCTGGGCTGTGGGACTCACATGGCTTTGAGCATGGTGCTTGGGGCCTTCTCCCTGTGTGTCATGAGCCTGTCTGTCTGAGGGAGGAGGAGGGGAATTTTTCTTCTGAGCTATTATGCAAGCAGAAGGTTGAAAAACCCCTAATTCCTGCCATTTTTGGCTCTTGTGCTGTGGCAGCAGCGCTGCTCCTGGGGCTGCGAGGCAGCTCCACAAACACTACAGAGGGCTGCGAGAATGCAGTCGCTTGGAAACGGCCGCAGAAATGAGATGGAAACGGCCTATTATTTCATGCAAGCCAGCAACTTCCCGGTCCCAGCCCTCCTTCCAGCCTAGCTGTGATTGTTCGCTGCCGACGCTGCCTTCCCCTCTTCCCCCAGCGTGCCCAGCACCTCCGTGCTGCCCCACAGCTTGTCGTTCCCTCCTGGCGGGATCCCGCACCCCTCGCCCGCAACGGCCGCAGAAATGAGATGGAAACGGCCTATTATTTCATGCAAGCCAGCAACTTCCCGGTCCCAGCCCTCCTTCCAGCCTAGCTGTGATTGTTCGCTGCCGACGCTGCCTTCCCCTCTTCCCCCAGCGTGCCCAGCACCTCCGTGCTGCCCCACAGCTTGTCGTTCCCTCCTGGCGGGATCCCGCACCCCTCGCCCGCCCGGGCCGGGGCTCTGCTTTCCGTCCCTGCCGTGGCCGTAGCTGCCGCCCTTTGAACTCGCCATCCTGGGAGCTTGAAAGCAGCCCCATTGTTTCGCGCCATAGTTTTCGGCTGAGATCATGGCTCGGCGCTTCCTGTAACGAGAGCCCCCGCGCGCCGCCGCTTTCCAGGGCAAAGAGGGGCCGCAAGCACGCGAGGCGGCCGCGAGCCCTTTTTCCCCCTTCCACATCCCCTTATTCCAGCTTGCGGTGGCCGAGGGCTGAGGTCATGGGAACCAGAGCAAGCTCGAAGCTCCCTGCCCCGAAACTGAGTCCCTGCGTGGTGCCAATCCCCCCCCCTCCATGCGCTGGGTGTTTTTGCTCTGGCCCGGGGCTGGGGCTGGGCCCAGCCGGCGCTGGAGCAGCCGGGAGAGGATTCCTGCGCCATGAACTCACGCCGTGGCTCTGGCCAGGCCCCGGGCGAGCTGCCTCCCCCCTCGCTGCCTTTCTCCAACGTGTAATTATGGCGCTGGATTGTTCCGGGCTGCTTTTGCCCCCGGGTTAATTCATTTCCTCCCTTGGGGAAAAGGATGAAGGTGGCCAGACGGTCTTGGAGCTGCTCAGTTCCATCCCAAAACCAGATAGAGCAAAGTGCGACGGGTTCCCCTTGGCAAAAACCCCGTGGGGTTCGAGCCCTGGGAGCGAGGCGGATGGCGGGGGCTCCCGGACGCCTACGCCCGCTCCCC